CAGTGAACCGATCAGACAAAACGTCCTATCTTCATGGATCTTATATTCTAATTGGGACATTTTTAGGTGAGTGGCCCAGGCAGGCCTCCATAGCCCTGGCCACGCACAAAGGTGGCACTGGTCACAGAGGAGCACTGTGACAAAAGGGGAAAGAATGCTCCATAATGTAATTCACGGGCTCTTAGTTGGTAAATGTGTTATCAGTAATGGTGTGGCAATAAATAATTGGCAGTGATGAATACTAATGCCAGAAGAAATTGCTACCTCAGAGAAATTAGTCCCTCTGTACCTATAATCTATAATTATTACGCATCGCTCATGTAATATGTACTGCAGACTGCCCTACAACACAGTCATTTGTCTACCTGGTTATCTCCTCCACAAGTAAATTTTCAGCCTATGCGTTATCCATTTTCATATTCTGTATAGCTCCTAGCATGGTGTCTTATGTACAATAAACTCCATAAATATTAATTTGAATACTCAGTTCTTAAGTTATCAGCACTGTGCCTTTATATACCAAGATCCTTATAATTAACATAGCGGACATGGAGCATTGGCAATACACATATTACTAAGCAGTCTGTAAGTTAAAAAGTTAAGTAAATGTTATTCTTATATGTGCACTTAGGTGTTGATCGTTAAAACCAATTTGTCTTGAAGCTCTGACTTGAGCGGGGGAGGGGTGGCAAGGGCAACATACGTAACCTAAACATCTGTACCCCCGTAATATGCTGAAATAAAAAGAAAGTTAAGTAAAATTGAAAGGCAGGCAAGTAGGCAGAAAAGAAGGGGAAAAGGAGGGAAGGGAGGGAGGATGAGGAAGGAAGGAAGGAGGGAAAGAAGAAGCACTTCTTTTGTTACCTTTCTTCTTTGGTAAGACGTGCCAGCTTTCTGGCTTTGTGGGCAAGGATAAATCTAAAACAAACAAACAAGAAAAGGGGGAGAAATTAATGGTTGCTTTCATCCTGGCCTCATTTCTATTGCTACACGTGTGCCCAGTGTACAATGTTAAAAGCCAACTAGAAGAAACAAATTATGTACTAGCTTGATTTATGTTCAAAGTTCTACTGTACATGTTACATTCCTGACACTGAAGAGCATCTTCTAGCTTCAAGGAGTCAAGGGACTGAAAAGAGATGACCGGCCATAATTTCTGCTTAGAGTAATACTATGGTTGACTCACTTCCCTCCACCTGGCTGGTGGCCAACAGGAATAAGCCTTGGGTCTCAAATGCCCACTTAAGGCCATGTCTGAGCCTTCTCTAATTTTATCCAGTCCTTGCTCTTTGGTTCTATCTCTACCTTGGTGTTTCCCTGGCACCCAAACTTCTAGATTCTGTCTCCATTTCTAGCCCTACAATTGCTTTGGTTTCCCTGTTATGACACTTAGCTCTCTCTGAGATAAACTCATACATGTCTTAG